TTCCTTGACATATGCCACTGAGGTTTTGTGGCTGAGTGCTATGCAGCTCTCATTGTGGCACAAAGAGTGGCTGTGTCTTCATTGGCTCACTCCTGAGAAGCATTTCCTTCTGCCAAGGAGAATACTATTATTCCGCATGTATCACAATAGCTGAAAGTTTTAAAAATGGTGACAACAACAAATGCTGGTGAGGACGAGGAGAGACTGGATCTCTCCTACATAGCTGTTGAAAATGTAAAATAAAATGGTACAGCTACTCTGGAAGACAGCTTGGCAAATTCCTTAAAAAAAAAAAAAAAACACTAAATATGCAATTACCATACAACCCAGCTATTGCACTTTTGGGCATTTATCCCAGAGAGAGGAAACATATGCATACCCAAAAGCCTGTACACAAACGTTCGTAGCTAAAATTGGTAACAAACCAGATGTCCTTCAATAAATGAACAGTGGAGCAAATGCTGGTACATTTATACCAAGAAGTACTACTCAGCAATTAAAAAAAAAAAGAAAAGGAACTATTGATACACTCAACACCTTGGATGAATCTTAAGGGAATTGTGCAGATTGAAAAAAGCCAGTCCCCCAAAGGTTATATACTATATGACTCTATTTATACAATATTTTCGAAAGGATAAAATTATAGCAATGGGGAGAAGATTAGTGGTAATCCAGGGTTGGGAACAGTGTTGAGGGGGGTAGATGTGGTTATGAAAAGGCAACATGAGAGATCTTTGTGGGGATGGAAATGTTCTCTATTTTGACTGTGGTCGTAGATACACAAACCTACACTGAGATAGAACTGCATAGAACTAAATAATACACACACACCAGTGCAAATCAGCTGGAGAGAGGAGAATGACACTGGTGGATTGTACCCATGTCAATATCCTCGTTGCAATATTGTGCTCAAGTTTTGCAAGGGATGAGGATGTATGGGTGAAGGGCATACAGGATTTTAAATGCAGTTGTTATTTCTTACGACTGCACTTGGATCTACGCTTACCTCAAGATAAAAAGTTTAAGAGAAAGAGAGAGACTACTGTTGAGGCTGGAGAGGGAAGACCTATTCAAAGACGGTGAGACTTCCCCTGAGCCCAGGATTTGGGAGGATTCGGAAGCTGATCCCAGGGAGTCAGAGGGATGAAAGGAGAAAGGGCCAAGTTATTGAGCTGATTGCCGCTGTGGGCGACCAGGCTGCAAGTCCTTTGAGGACCCTCTGGTGAATTGTGTAGAATGCACCTCCAAACTGTCCCTCCAAGGGACGGGGGCTGGGGCCTCCAGCCTCCAACTCCTAGTGCCCACGACTGAGTCATCATTTCCGGGATGTGCCTGTGTTCATGCCCAGGGAGCCTCCCAGCTTCAGAGAAAGCCCTGCTGCAGGAAAACAGAAATTCGTGATGTATGCTCGAGGTGGGATACCATCAGCATGCCCTGAACCGTCCACCCTATCTATGCCTCAAGTTACGGCACAAGAATCCACCACTCCAGCGTCCCTGACTTGCTGGTAGAATCCCGTCCTCCTTTGAGCACATCTGTTGAGTCGTTTATTAATCTATTTGTTCAGGGCATGGTTAGGGAACACCTTTCAGGGTGAAACCACAAGCAAGCAAGACTGCAACGTTCCTGCTCTCGCGAGGCTCTCTTGGCCCCAGGAAAAGACCTGCGGTTCAAGAGGTGAGAGGCATCAACTGTGCGGAATGATTTTCCTTACTCTGTCTCCTCACAGGGACAGCAAAGGCCACTGAGGGAGGTTGTGGTTTCTAAAGCCTCTGTTTGTTTATTCAGTGTGTGGAGAGGGCCGGGCGCCCAGCTGAGCACTGTGCAGGAACTCTCTCCTTTAATCACTACATTGCATCTGCGAGGCGGATCTTATCGCACCCATAGTACAGAGGAGGAAACTGAGGCTTAGGGAAGTCAATACCTTGCTCACACACCAGAGGGTTAGTGAGGCTTCCAAGACCAGGAAGCCAAAAAGTCCCGCCCTTCCAAGGCAGCCAGTCTTCAGTCACAGAATCGCAGACCTTCCTTTACTTTTCCTGAGGTCGAAGACCCCAAGGACATGCCACCCAAAGCATAGAACGCTGCCCTGGCGCACTCCAGCCACCCTCTCCCCCGTCCCTCCCTCCCTTCTCCTGGGCCCAAGGGAAAGGACAGAGACAGCGTGGTGAATCGTTCTGTCACCTAGGGGAGTCTGACGGGCGAGCCACTCACTCATAAGCTGGTGACCTCTGACTGTCACCATGCTGCTTGCTATAGGGACTGGCACGCACTGCACAAGTGAGAGCTTCTATCACTGTTACCAACACTAATATCAACAGTAGGTGGGGCATCAGTCAAATATTAAAACTCCGAAAGGAATAACTTTCAATCTGAACACAAGGCTGTCTCCCCTACCCCAGTACCCCAGCGTATTTTATAAAATTAAGAAGCCACGGTGCAAACTACTTGAAGCTTGCTTCTTTTACTTGCAATGTATCTTAAATATCTCCTTTCAATCTTTAGAAATGTGTTTCTTAATGGCCACATGGTATCCCATTGTATGGGCACACATGCGCCTATTTAACCAAACTCATTTTTGGACATCAAGGCTGTCTCCAATTTTACATGATTAAAAAAAACTCATGATGAATTTCCCAGAAACTATTTATGTATATCTCCAATATTTCCTTAGGACCAACTCCTCAAGGCAGAATTAGCAGATGAAATGATTCACACAAGACTTTTGAAATATTTTGCCAAACTCTCCTCCCAAAAGGTTTATCTTATTTTTAATCCAACTAGAAGTTTATGACATTTTCTATTTTCTCCTCAGCAATAGGTATCATTATTTTAAAAATGAATAAAAATTATATTTAACTTGCATTTCATTAATTAAAGTCTTTTCAAGCATTTATTATCTTCTGTGTGAAGTACTTTACTGGACATTTCCATAGATATTATTTCTTAGGCTCACAGCCATGCTTTCAAGCAGGTAGAAAATCTCCCTTGAATAGAGGAAGAAACTAAGGCTTGGACTCAGTTAGGCTCCAGGCTAAGCTCTGCCACACACCAGCGCTGTGTGATCTGGGGAGATTTCCCAACTTCTCTGAGCTCAAGAATACTAATGAGCTGACCCTCTTGAAAGTCCTGATGTTCCTTCTTTCCCCTGACTTTGAGTCCCACATTCGAGTGGACCAGGAAGCCAGGGGGATGCTGTGAATACTCCTCTCCCAGGTACAAAGAAGTCTAACAGCCCAAACATCTGGATTCTGTCCTGTGCCAATATGGAAACTAACGGGGAAAAAAAAATCTAACACAATTAGTAGTAGATAGATCCGCACATAGTAGGATCTTCATACATCTTTGCTGAATAAATGAGTGAATATGGACTAGGTGATTACTACCCACGTATGAACCTGCATCTCATTCCTCCATCACAATTTGTGTCTCAGGACCCTTGCACAAGCTGTTCTCTCTGCCTGGAGTGCTTTTCCTCTCCACTTTTTGCTTGATTAATTCCTATCCCTTGTTAGGACCATGCTCAAAAGTCACCTCCCCCAGACCAGGTGAGGAGCCCTGGTCTTATCCCATTATGTCATTGAGCATGCTGCCTTTGTAGTCCTTCCCACCAATTGTCACCAATCAATGACACAGTCACCGGAGGGCTGTTTCTCTCACTAAACCGTGAGTTCCAGGAGGACATAGCCCCATCACCTTGTTCCCTGCCATGTGCCCAGTATTGACCCCGTATCTAGTCCAGAGGAAGCATCCACTATATATATATTATAGGGATATAACAATCTGTGTTGTGCCTCTCAACATCAGCACGGTGATAAAACTGCATGGACATTTGGATATTACATCCTTGATTCTACCAATTCAGTAAAAAGAGCCATTATAACCATCGTTTGGAACCCAAAGAGGTTAATCTGTATCTGTTATAAAATGACAATGTCCCTTGTCTGATGTATGAAACTTCCTGTGGTCATAATTTTAATGATTTTCCAGTGATGGCAACTGTTTGAGTATTTGGGGGTGGGGGTGCTCATTTGGTAGTCGGGTGATGTCCTTCTGAAAGTGTAAGACTGACTGACTGTCTTGTATAGTTGGTAAAATTAGTTTCCAAGGTAATTTCTCCAAAGGCGACTTTAAAAAAAAAAATTGAACTCATCAGAAAAAATATCTGTGTAGAGTACAGTCAGAACTTGTTCAGTGAAACTTTACTAATTCAGTCCCCTGGGGAACAGGAAGCCCATTGACCTAGTTTTTCCACTGCACTTAAAAGAAACTGAATTGTCATTTCTTTATAATTAATTCACACTTCTCAGGGGTTCTTTGCCTAGGAAAGTTCCCAGGGGGACATGATTAAGTGAATAATTTGTAATCAACAAGCCAATTGTTCCTACTTCAAGTGGTTGTGACATACTTGATGGCTCGTGATAATTTGAGGGGTGTGGCACCAAAATCATAAAAACAGAAAAAAAAAATGTGCAGCGCTAGTTGAATGCCAATTTGCTGCTCTGTTCTGTCCTACATGTGTTTAGAGAGGACAAACTCACAAATCCTAAATTCATGGCTTTTAGATAAATATCTGGACCACTGATGGTCCATAAAGTTGTTTGCATTGGGGTTCCCAAAACACCTGATTCCAACAATTCATTCAGAGAAAAAGATCCTTCAGAAAAACCATGCATTAGGTGTTATATATAGTAAGACCGTTTTAGCATACCATTTTTAGATCAGTGTGAACTCCTAAATAATTTTGTTTTCCAATGCCAATACAAATGCAATTAAAACAAACAACTTCCTTCCAGGGATACAAACCAGGGGATAAATATATTCAGCTTCATCACACTCAAGTACAATGGATCCTAACTTCCCCCGAACTTAGCAGGAGAAGGCAGATGGGATAAGAAATTCACATGCAAGCCCACTCCTTTCTGTTTCCTTCACCTAATATTTTCACCATTCGATCAGTAGAAGGAACAGGGGGGAAAAAAGGGTGTTCAAGTTCCTTGTACTTTTTTAAGCACATGGTATTTATTAGGCATTAATTGGCACAAAAATATAAGGCACGAGTACTTAATTCTCACCCTCCCCCCCTTAATCAACATAAAAAGACATAATCACTTGAGGACACTCACGTACAAACATACTCACACTCTCTCACGTACTTGGACATACTCAGCCTCACATCTTACCCTGTTCTCTTTATTAGGGTCTGTTTTAAAAAAAAAAAAATTACTTTTAATCGAAAAAGCAAAGCACATTCGAAAGAAAAAAAAAATCACAAACTTGGTTTTGAGTACCAATAAAATTAAAAGCTCTTGGCCAGCTCCCATGCTGGGTTTCATTCCATGTTATTACTTAATTAGAATTCCTATTTATAAATAAATAGTACCAGTAAAATATTACATCTGAAGAACCCTACCATAACACTTTACTTACACACTTTTTTTTTAATACTGTTTTTCTGCTTTCAATAAACACAGTTTTGTGTTGGCATTTGGTGTTGGCGTGATCTCTTTGCAGAGAAATATTCGGCGAGCACGTCTTGCCTCTTCTTTGAAAATTGCGGATTTTGCTTGGCATCCCACTTGGGTCGTCGGCGATGGAGGTTTGGAAGCTTGGGACTGGCTTGGTTTTATTTTGTTGTTGTTGTTTGTCTTGTTGTTGTTTTTTTTTTTAATCAGGAAGAATATTTATTTTGGCGCTTTTTTTTCCCCCCACAACTCTTATCAGCATAGAGCTCATACCCTGCTTATCACAGTTCTGCCTGCATGTAAACCAGGGCTTTTTAAGTTTTTGCAAAGCAAGCCTTCTGGACGGGAAGCTACAGGCCACGTTTTAGCGACAGGAAGCTGGAAAGACGTGGTGGAGCTGGGAAGACCGTAGGGCGGAGTGAGATACGATGCCAGCTAGGGGTCGACGTTATTCTGACTCCATTGGTAAGTAGAGGCAAAACCGAGTAGTGTGGTGCTGGGACAGGCAGGGCAAACAGCAAAGAAAACTGGGACTCAGGGAGGCTTTTCAGAAACATCACATGGCAGAGGTAGGTACTTTCCTTATTCCAGGGGAGGGTGGTGAATTTAGGTTTGAGGGACGGTTTGTCGGAGGGGAATCCTGCAAGCACATATTTTGAAACATACTCTCGCCGGACTTCCCCCCTAATAAGGGACTGGGTCCCGTTAAGAAAATTGAAAGAAAAAAATATATATATTATTATTTACTATATAACAATGTCAACATTAACACCAAGACAGGGAAAGACTCCAGCTACACGCTGGGATAAAACACTCGATGAGGCAAGACTTTCTAGAGCCCAAAAAGAGGGAATCTGGGAGGACATCTGGAGGTGGTGGGGATGTGGTCGGTTGATGAGGGTGGTGGTGGTGGAGGGTGGGACTCTTCTTATATGTTTGGTTTTTTTGGTTTTTTTTTGAGTTTTGAGACGAAATGCCAAAGTCACATTTTTTGAATTGTGGTTTCAAGGTACTGATTAGATCAGTGTCCCGCAGCCTCGAGTGCAGACGTGAACCTTGGGGGAAATGAAAACTCTTGTCTGTGGGGTTCTCTTTTCTGCTGTCTCTCTCCTTCTCTCTCTCTCTCTCTCTCTCTGTCCTCTCTCTCTCTCTCTCTCTCTCGCAAATGTCTGTTGTGAAGCAGATGTCACTCTAACTGTTCTCGCTCCACTCTGGCACCATGCCGACCCCGTGCACAGAGTGGTACTGGTGTGGGGACAGGGTCCTGGGCACGCTGTGAGAGTAGAGGAATTCGGGGGGCTGGAGGGTGCCGGGGGACTGGAGGCCAGTCTGAGGCCCACACTGCCTGACCACAGGCTGGTGGGCCACGGGGGTCTGGTGCTGGAACATCCCCTCTCCGAGCTGCGGGGAGCCGTGGTTGGCCATGCCAGCCAGCCGGGGGACCAGGGGCCCCGAGGTGAAGTGAGCAGAGAAGTGCTGGTAGGGCAGCCTGTCCATGGGCTGCACGGTGGTGACCGTGCAGTTGCTGTAGGAAGGCATGCTGGGCCACGTGTTGCAGCTGATGTCCTCCAGGCTGGGCACCGGCGGCTCGCTGGGGGGCGCGGAACTGGCATACATGCAGGCCTGCCGCTGTGCCGACTCTGTCCTGTAGGAGGCGCTCAGGCCCTGCTGCTGGGGGTAGCTGGAGCGGTAGAAGGAATCCTCTTCACTGGGCGATGTCTCCATGTAGGGCTTCTTGTAGGGATGGTCGGTGGTGGAACATTCTTCATCTGGGAAGACAGGAGGAGAGAGACCAATGAGACCACCAGACAGCTAAAAGCAGAGACAGCCATTTGGCCAAGGACTGGAGAATGAAGCCTGAGAGATTGTTAGCCCAACCTCCGTGCTGAGAAGAGAAGGGGGCAGACGGTGGTCCTTAAGACCATGGGCTGTGGAGTTCTAAGCTTGACCTTTCTGAGCTCGGTTTCTTCATTTGTACCAATGAAGAGAAATGTTCCTTTGTAGGAACACGCACTTCCTACAAAGAGCAGTGTGGAGAACCAAATGGGAAAATAAATACTAAGCACTTAGTCCAGATCCTAGTACAAGAAACAATAGATAGCAATGATTATCATCCTTCCTCCTCCCCACCACATACATTCCGTGAAGACAGGATATTGTCTGTCTTACCCATCAATATATTTCCAGAACCTGCTATACACCTATTACTAATAACAACAATATTATCAATAATAACAGTAAAAACAAATGCATAGAGCGTTCACCCTGCCTAGCACTGCTCTGGGCACTCTGCATAAGGTAACCTATTTAATCCTCTCAACAAGCCTGCACGGTGGGTTTACTACTATCCTCATCTTATAGATTAGGAAAAAAAAAAGAGAGAGAGAGGTTAAAGTAAGAAAGTTGCCTTACATGACCGATAAACAGTGGAGCCAAGATCAGAATCCAGGTAGTCTGACTACAAAGTCCTTGCTTTTCAGTGCCATGCTACGTGGAGAAGACATGCAATAAATATTTGTGCACTGGATGGATGGATGCATGGACAAATGGATGGGAGCTTGAGTGAATCCCCAAATCCTTTCCTGATACCTTGTGTTAGCACATACAAGTTAATATTTGCTGAGTCGGTACAAATTAATGTGTTACTGTTTCCTTGATGAAGTCATTTCCCTCTTCTGGGCACTAGCTATCTCCTAGTGTATGGTAGCAGAGATAGCTCTGTCTCTGAAAGAGGGTCTCCCTTAACCACTTTAGGGTCATCAGTGCCTCTGGAAACCAACAAATGTGCTGGGCTCTTTCCTAGAAAAATAGACTAAAACACAATGTTTTGGAAACTGCATGTGCAACACTGAGTATTGCACACAATTTGAGAGTGTTCAAGGACTCCCTAAAACCCAGACCCAAAATCAATAATCCTGGACATATTTGGGTTTGAATCTGGGTTTTCTACTTAAAATCTGGGTGGTACCCCCAGGGCATCTACCCTCAGAGCCTCATCTGCATCTTCTCAAATTAGAGTCAGTAATACTTACCTCCCTGGGTAACTAAGAATTAAATAAGATCGAGCATGGAAATCTGATATCCAACATTGGGAACTGCACTTGTGGCAAGGGTAACACCACCCGTCAATTACATGGCAGACATACCTTTGAGCTGCTTCCTTCATGGGAAGTAGTACTTGGAAATTTCTACCAAGGTGAAAACCTAACACAGACTCATTCCTTAGATGGAAGTTTATCCTCCAAACTGGTAATCTTCTTTCTTCATCTTCCCATCTCTTTCTAATCAACAAATGTATATATATATATATATAAAATGTCTGTCTTTGGGGCATGTGAAGAAAAATGAAACACTGGAGCATCCGTGCAACTCACTGGGATGGTCGATGCCCAGAAGGCACGATGCTGAACTCAATGATGAGAGAAAGTATAACAGCTCTTATGTATTGAGCCCTTACTAAGTGACCTTATTCCAATGTCATAGTAACTTCTTAAGGTGTCTGCTGTCATTCCCCTTTCACAGAGGCGGAAAAACGAAAGCTCAAAGAAGCAACGTGCCCAAGGTCACACAATTGGGAAGGAACAGAGGCTGGAGTCAAAGCCAGATCTAACTTACTTTGCCTGCCACACCTTGCTTCCAACTCTCCATACTTCTAACATCCAGTGCCACTCACCCAGTCATCCAGAAGATGTTCACTGAGCCCCTACCAGGTGCTAGACACAGTGTCAGGTGCTGGACACAGTGCCAGGTGCTGGACACAGTGCCAGGTGCTAGACACAGTGCCAGGTGCTAGACACAGTGCCAGGTGCTGGACATGGAGTGGCAAACAAGGTAAATGTGACTGTTCCCAGTGCACATCCCCAGTCCCACTCCACCCCACGCTGAGCAGTAAGAGGGAGGCTGACATTCTGTGACCTAGAGGTGGTTCATAGATATAAGGTTTTAAGTAAGTCATTCACTCAACAGTAAATCCTCTGGCTTTGGACTGGTGTGCAAAACAGCTCCCAAATTCCAATAGAGTAGCTTGGGTCTGGCTTCTACCAAACACCTCTGTGTGCATCATTCTCCAAGTGACACCTGTAGGTCAGTCCAAAGTCTCCATAAACAAAACAAATCTCTGCTAGGGTTGTACCCACTTAACAGCAAGCAAAATTATTTTTAGCTAGACTCCTTCTGGGACACATCTGGGACCCATAGGGTGCCCAAAAATTTGCAACAACAACAAAAAAAAGTGGAAAATGTGCTCTTCCAGGTGTTCTATCTGTATCATGCCAACCATCCAGATGTTTGAAGACATCCAGATGAGCGAGTAGCCATGTTTTTCACCTTTCAACTGGGTGGGTTTTTTTTTTCTTTTTACAGTCTTGAAGACATTGCTGCACTCTACTTGTTTTTGTCCTCACCACCTCCTCGCTTGATTCTTTCTCTTCCACTTTTCCTTCCACCCCCCCCCCCAGGATTCATAAATCCAAGTGTTTCCTTTGTCACTGGAATCATAACCTTTGGGTTTTCCATTTAACCAGGGCGTTCCCCTTTTCAATAATAGAAAGTACAGCTGCAGGGTACCCTTGGCAAGAGAAAAAAAAGCAAAGCAAACTAACCATGCTCGAGTTTCTGATCCCCTTCCAGATTTGTTACAAGTAAAAAAAAAAAAAGGAAGAATAATAAGAAAAAGGCCGGAACACATTTTGGAAAATCGTAAAATTATACATTCCAGTTTTTAATACCTCAAAGATCTGATGCAGGGCCCTAAGAAAAACTCGATGTTGGCTTGTTGATGAAAGCAGGTCCTGAGCATTCTCAAATTCCTCACAGCCCTCATCACATTGTAAAGAAATTCCAAAGCAAGGATCCAAATTTCAGGTCGGTCATGATAAATGCTCTGGATGTAATCTCTGTGTTTATTTTGGTCATGGCTTGGTCTCTTTCTTTTTATTGGGAGCCTGATAACTGCTCCACAGCAAAGACCTCTCTCCAGCCAAACCATGTTTAGTTTGCATGACTGGGGAATGGGCTGTGGTCAAGTACCAAGCCTTCTGATGAGACGAGTCCACAACTCAGCTTCAGAGAGTTTAGTTATATTGCAATGCTCCTTGAATGCACCTGAGTCTCTTGGATAACAGAAAAGTTCTTCCTGGTTCTAACCAGCTATCGTGGAATAGCACTGTGAAAAACTCTGGTCCTTTAAGTTTCTCCAGATGATTCTGATTCTGGATAAAGTGACTTTAGTTATGAATCCAGAACATAGATATGAAAGTGCAGGGTTACGGCTCTGATGCCCAGTGGTTTTGTGAATGTGAGCAAGTCACTGGACCATTCCGATCTCCGTTCTTGGCTGCAAATGGGGATAATACTTAAACTCTTTATGAAATTTAATTGAGATAATACTAAGTGCCTCAGTCTAGTTTCTATCTTCCTTGCATGTTAAGTAAATGTTCAAATCTTATCCGTCCAAATAACCCAGGTCTGCTCTCTTCCCTCTTTTCTTTCTTGGGAGACTGGACAGATGGCTCTCTGAAGGTCATCCAATACTTGAAGGTATTTGGGTGGATTCCAGACCTGGAAAGCTCACAGAGCTGCTTTTAAATCAGCAACCCCATAATCATCGTTGCAATTCCCAAATGGGTCATTTCCCTTGCCGAGTTAGTTCACTGAGGTGAAAGACTGTTGTTGAGTCTTCACAGAGACCCTGAAGCTCAGAGTGGTGAATGGCCACTTTCCAGCTGAGTAACCTTCAGCAAGTTGGGCGGTGGGGGTGGGCAGAGGCACACGGTGTTATAGTCTAGGCCTTCTGACTCACAGAACAGTGCTTGTCCTGGCAGGCTTGGCCCAGGCTGTCCATTTTCATGCAACCCTGTGTGCTCAGCCAACATGAAAGGTTGCCTTTGACCCCTATAGATGGGTGGATGGCTAGATGGGTGGGTGGATGGATGGTTGTGTGGATGGGTGGGCGAGTGGGTGTATGGATGGGTGGGTGGATGGGTGGATGGATGGATGGGTGGATGGGTGGATGGATGGGTGGGTGGATGGGTGGATGGATGGGTCGGTGGGTGGGTGGATGGATGGATGGGTGGCTAGGTGGATGGGTGGGTAGATGAGTGAGTGGCTGGGTGAGTGGATGGCTATGTGGATGAGGACATGAGTGAGTGGGTAGATGAGTGAGTGGGCAGATGAGTGGACGGGTGGATGAGTGGATGGAGAGATGGGATTTTTGGTACCCTCATGCTCTTATTAGCTCTTAGCATTAAGTGGGCAGTACTGGATGGTATTGTGGGAAGATCCTCAGCTAGAAATCAAACACTCAGGTTCAGATATCACCTAGCCACTACCTGAAATCATCAGATGTACGCCCTGCCTTATTATCCATCTCCCCATGAGAATACAAGTTTCATGAGAGCAGGGGCCTTTTCCACCTTGTCCTCCACTTATCCCAAGCACACAGCGCAGTGCCCAGTACACATTAAGTGCTTAGTAAATACATATTTATTTGACGGCTCCAACCCAGATCTGCCACTCATCAGCCACATAACCTTAGAATCTAACCCCGTCTCTCAGTCCTCCGTTTGCCCCCTGAAAGGGGGGGATGGGCAGCATCTCCTCAGCCGTGGGGATGCAGTGAAGGAAACGATGTGCAATTGCTTTTAAAAACAAGCAGCTCTGAGAAAATGCGCCCTGCAAAGCCCTTTACAATATCTAACTCCCCTTCCCCTCTCAATCCCTGGCTTTCCCTTGAATGTCCAGTTGAGCGCACAGCTTTGCTATGGCCTTT